TATACCACAGAAACTGATTATTAAACGCTTGTCAGAAATATCGCAATTGCTATAAAAATATATTGAAATTGAAATGAATGATTATTCAATTCAATTCAATTCAATTCAATTAATTTATTTACGTGTTTGCCAACAGCAAGAAGCCAATAACAGGCAAACACAGATAATACATACAATAATAGTGAAATAATAATGGATAATATTACAAAAACGGATTAACTAAACTTATACATGTACAGTATTAAATATAACTGCCAAGTACAGGCAAACTCAAAATAGAAACAATATTAACACAGAGCAAAAAATGAAGAAATATAAATAAAAACAAATAATCCACCTAGGGAACACTAATATAATTGTAAAACTTTAAAAAATATAAAAAGACAGATAACGAAGCTAGATCATTTCCCTTGTTGAGAACGTTCGCTCAAGGGAGACAATGTTTGTGCTAAATACGTCCAAAGATTTACATACGTCATTTGCAGCGATGACGCACCTGGCTGAAGGACTATGTCTTAGTGCACTGCTCACACTAAAAGTAGAAAATTCTCTTATTTGCCTCGCCGGCACACGTAAACCAACAGCGTCCATAATGGAATGGCAATTTATTTTGCCCTTAAATACATTAATAAGAAATAACGCATCGAGATGTCGTCGTCTGGAATAAAGTGTTCTAAAATTTAAAGTAGATAGGATATATAAATAATAATCACTGAATGTATTGCCAATGCGTGAGCTAAAATGGTGATGTTACATGGAATTATAATCCGATTAATGCTTTAATAAACCGTAATTCTGATCAGAACATTGATGAAAGAAAATGAATGGCTCAAATCGTGTATTTGGGGGGGGGGGGGGCTGTTGACCGCACGATGATTTCTTAAGCTGTTGACATAACCTGGGAGTCTAAGAGGGTGAAAAGTTACGAGGCTTTAAATGTGCCCAAAATATCCCCAAGTCTATTTGGCCCAGGAATTTATTGGCAGAATTGGTTTTCACCGCATTTACAGTAAGAGCCACCCATCCCAATGGAACACTTTTAGGGAAATTAATATAACGTAGCTAAATGGAGCGTAAGGTAATATTCGCTTAGGTACTTAAGAAATGTTCCTTACTATGTATAACCCGGCTACAAGAGCTACACTTGCAAAACCATTGCTAATAGTACGAATTTCGATGTGATATCTTTTTAAGTAATAATTTTTTCCAATTACAAACTTAAACCACAAAACTTCACCATGGTATTTCTAGCGGTTAGAACGCTGGCCTTGTAATCCTGGGGTCTCGGGTTCGATTCCCGGCGGTGCCCGAATTTATAACTTGTGCTGGGCAAGGCATTGGTCTAGGCAACACGGAGTTTTCCTCCGTGGCATCCCAACAATTACTAAATTCACACACAGAAGAAGGCAATGGCAAACCACTTCTGGATCATCTGCCAAGAACGTATATGAACAGGTCCCAGTCCGAGAAAAGGATGGAAGGATCCTGTTCATAATATGTCACCAACCTCCTGTAAAGGAGACGGCCTAATAAAGAAGAAGAAGGTATGGAAATACTAAAATAGATGAGGGTAATCAAATTTTTAAGGATGGCAAGGTTTGAGCTGGATTCTTTTTGTGCTGCTGCAGTGGTGGAGTTGAGTAACACGCAGTGGGGAATTTATTCCAACCTGACCCAGTCCTATTCATTTCACGCCACTTTTAATTCACATAAAGGAAAAAAGAAAGTGAGCCATAAAAAAAGATAGCCCAGAATAATTCTTTGTATACTGCGGTTTACTGATCATTTCTCCACCAAGAACGTCAAGCGATGAACGTGACAAGCACAGGACCTGAAGCACCGTGTTTGATATACGAACACGCGCCTGTTATACCGGGCTTCTGACAACAGACCTGTCCAAATGAGACGAGTAACAAACTATCCTGTTCCATTTATCTGTTTAAATTAGTCCTGATTGCTTTACAAACGCGCAGAATTTGGTCCTTTAACGACGTCACTCTCTGACATATTACAAGAACCCAAATGCGTGGTTTCAGACCAGTCTTACGAAAACCACCAAGATCATTTGTTCTTGATGTAGGGTGATTAACCCTCGAGGGGAAATTTTGGAATGTTTCTGTGGCTAAGTTCGTCAGCTACACACTCTCATAAATATGATAAAATAAAAAAGAAAATGTGTTTTGTAACATCTTATTGCACTAGGAGAGAGCACTGTAGCACACCCTGACGTCACAGACAAGTTCAGTCCTGTTACCTATCAGCTCCTACAAAACCACTCAAAGATTAGTTTCGATTTAGCATTGGTAGTGTAACATAGCAGTTAGTAGTTGAATGAAATCCAATTCTTACTTAAGTTAAGTCCTTCTGTACTCAGACTGAACTGAATTTGTGATTAATATTAAATTAATTTTCTTTGTCTTTTAGACTGTAAATTACGAAAGTAAATATTTTTTGTAATTAGTCACTAAGACGAAAATAATAAAGCTTACTAATACTTTGATATCGTTATTTATCTTTTAATATAAACTATATATAATAATAACACGCTGCCATTTATAATTTTGCGTCACAAATTATAGGAACGTATAATACAGTACATATATTTAACGCAGAACGATGTATTTAAACTCCGGTAATTAAACATACACGTTTTGAAAATTATACTCCCTATTTCTTATTAAAAATGTTTTATTTCCGGATTTTTAATTCAGTCATGGCTTCAGCAATAAAAGAATTACACATTTTTACAAAGGAAATTTGTTAATCTTGTTGATAATTCAGATGAAAGACTTTTCGCGTTATTTTCGGTTAAATACTGTGGAGAGTTTTAAGGCTGGCAATGCGAAGTATATTTTTGAACTAGCCCATAAAAGTTTTGTGGGAATAGATATTGAATGTAAAAAGCAGGGAATCCTGTCGTTTAAATTAAGACTGTCAGTTTGGGAAGCTACTGTTGAAGCAAATTATCTTATTGGTCATAAGACTGCTGAACAGTTACAAAGGAATTCATCAAACCACGCCTTGATGAAAAATTAGGCTTGATCTTGAAAGTCAATATGGAAAATCTGGATCAGGTATCACTTTCAAACTGCGCTGTCGAAGGGTAAAACATTTAAAAAATACGACGCTGAAGAAATGGAAGGTTGTATTCACTTACCACTTCAATTGGACGCTTAAAAGCGTCTTCTTCTGTGTCTGCAAGGATCAGACATCCAGGACCCATTTTGAGAGTCAAATAATGTTCGCTTTCATTTTCCTACATTTTCCATCCCTTTAGCCTATAATGTTATAAGTAATCTTGGGAAATCTTCTGTCGGAATTTGTCTATGAAGGGGAATTATTCTGGGTTTAGGGCGTACATGAAGCAGTTGGCCCCTAAATACCACATTAATCAGTTCTTTGCTGCAGAGATACCCTTTGGCTCTGAAGAAAGTTCCACCACACCTTACAGAAGTGTTCTGTGAAGACGTTTAATGATTAATCATAATCGAGGCAGTGCCACAAATTTCAGAACGTTTGAAGTATTATGTAAAGAGCTTGTAGCTGAATTTTGTTCCCACATGTGTCAAGAAATTCACTCACTATTTATCGCACATGAATATATTTAGACAAGTGTTACGAATAAGACCAGAAATGATCTTTTAAAGACAGAAATTTGATGAAGAGAATTTTTTGGGGAGGGAAAGGGGAGGGTAGGAGAATAACGAAGCCTGAATCCATTCTAAAATTGAAGTACCTTGCAAGCCGATTTTCTGAAATTGATCAGCTGATTCTCTTACTATAAGGTTACATGGCAAATATTTTCAGAGGTTAAGATTGGGTTGCAAGCTTTCTGTCAGTTCCAGTAATATCGGCGTAGGGATTAAGCTACTGAAATGTCAGTGTTAGAACTGGCGATTTTATTCAACGAAAATAAACAAAAAATGTTCACCCGCTGATGAGACCTGACTTGCAATGTTGTCGGTAACAGAATCCATCAGCGTATACGTTCCAGATAAGAGAATATTGCGACTTGGATGTGTGGATTTTGAAATCATTCACAGTTTAAGAAAAGCCATGCGAAGTCCTTGTTCTGCGAAAACCTGACACATTAGAAGCAATTTTTCAATATTCTGATCTAGAAATATTTTGGCGTAAATTTGGCAGTACGAATGCAAGGAATAACATTTGCACTTCGTATTCGGGATATCCAGGGATAAAATATCAGCCGTGAGTCCGATTATCGTGACTGACGTTTGTCAAAGTCTTTCCTAGGTCCTCGAAGAAACTGCAAGGACGATATCTTAAATTAGTCGAAGACCTAATCCTGTCATCGTTCACAAACCAAATGTCATTCGATGGAATAATATAATCCAAATAATCGAAATATTCTTTAAATAAACCGAGAATAAACAAATTGATTACATAAGAACTGTGCTTCATGGTGTAAGCCTGGAAGGAGAGTACTTACAGCAAATTATTTACTTTGATTCTAGCCAAGATCCATGACAGAGGCGAAACTTCAGGAGATAGCAAGCGTTGTTATGACTTGCCGAGTTTCTCCACGACAGTTGTAACTACATCCTGGTGCGGAATCTGGGCCTCCGTGGTAAGGTAAGATTCATCACACGTCTTATTTTAGAGAGAACAATTAATTTCACAACTGACGAGCCCTGGAATAAGTAAAACATTTGTAATTATAAATAACGAAGCAACTAACCAAAAGACTAACTCCATGGAACATAGGTCTTCTTGGAAAGCTAATAGTCGCTCAGCATGTTCAGAAATATTCCGCCGGTTATGAAGCTCGGACGGTTGTTACACGTTGTCGAAAGACACTTCTGTCGGCGTTACAACCACGTGATCTATATTTATTTATTTATTTAGTGTTCTGTCTGACGACAGGTCCATATGAACAGGATCCTTCCATCCTTTTCTCGGACTGGGACCTGTTCATATACGTTCTTGGCAGATAATCCAGAAGTGGTTTGCCATTGCCTTCTTCTGTGTGTGAATGGAGTAATTGTTGGGATGCCACGGAGGAAAACTCCGTGTTGCCTAGACCACGGCCTTGCCCAACACAAGTTATAAATTCGGGCACCGCCGGGAATCGAACCCGAGACCCCATGATTACAAGGCCTATATTATTAAGACATTTTAATATTATATCCCCTTTTACTGTTATATAAATTCAGTGAAGTAGGAGGGGTATGTAACAAGGTCGTGAGCTGAACGAACACCCCTTGTCGGCTGTCCGCAACCTGAGGACGCGCTGTGACATTAAGTGTAACCGGGCATTATGGGGGAACAGCACTGCCCTATATTGGACTGTAATTGCATGTCCTTGATGAAGCAACGAGGCACAGCCCATGTATCGTATAAGCCGAATTGGACCCGCCGCTCTAGGAGACCTACACAAATCATTCTCGTACACAAACACAAACCCTTTTCCTATTTTCGAAAATGCACAAAGAGCGGCAGAATCAGTCCACCTCTAGAGGATATTGTTAGCTGTAACTTTTGAACGTGTTACAGTGTTTGGTGTAGAATATGACTAGCTCCCCCCCCCCCCCCCCCCCCCCATTACATCTTTAATGATTTACTTCGCAAAAATAAAATATTCTGTCTTTCTTTTACCATTACAGACCCTAAGGCAACACTTATTGCGGACTTTATGCATTGATCTACAGCATTTTTAAGAATTAAGAACGAAATTATAACAGTGGATCATAGCCTGTAAATCAACCGCTATCATTCCTCTCTTACTAACAAGTTAGGGACTCTATAACATGTTATAAAATATGTGACGAAATATACTTTAACTTTTTTCATTCCGATGCCTTTCTAAAAGGCGAAATACAAAAGGGACAATTATAAAGTATTTTGTTATGGGATGACCGGTCATTGGCAATCATCATTAGCGCGATCTGTATCAGTCCAGGATTTAACCACTGTCTGCCTGAATTAATGAAACAAACACGATTGCATTTGCACAGGATGCGTGTTTTCGGAAATAACATTACGCTCCGATAGGTTCTGGCCGGCATGTTTTGCGATTGAACCGTGGCTATAAACCGACGAGCTGGCTTGCCTCTGTGCTCCTCTGTTTTGTGGTTTTATTCCAGCGTTTCACATCCCGCAGTATCTGCACAGCAGAGCTCTTCGAGTGAAACTGATATCATTTTAGCTTCAGCAATATTCCTGACTGCTCGTGTCAGCTTGATGTTGAATGTTTTTTAAAAGGACCAGTTAATGAAATCTATTCTTGGGCCCAATTTAAGCTTTGTACCTTTTATATCCTTCACGAAACGTGGTCTAGCGGTTAGAACGCTGGCCTTGTAATCCTGGGGTCTCGGGTTCGATTCCCGGCGGTGCCCGGATTTATAACTTGTGTTGGGCAAGGCCGTGGTCTAGGCAACACGGAGTTTTCCTCCGGGGGCTTCCCCGGTTTCTCCGTGGCATCCCAAAAATTACTCCATTCACACACAGAAGAAGGCAATGGCAAACCACTTCTGGATCATCTGCCAAGAACGTATATGAACAGGTCCCAGTCCGAGAAAAGGATGGAAGGATCCTGTTCATATGGACCTGTCCTCAGACAGAACACTAAAAATAAATAACACGGGTGTAATATTTAATTGATTTCTTATTTTCCTTCTTAGAATATAATGATTAAAGGTCAGAGGTCCTTGTTGCCACCATTATCAGGGCGATGATGGAGACAAGATTACACTTCGCTACAATCTAGAAGAAATCCATCTTCAGACTCACCGCCGTGTACATCTAAAATCCTGTTCAATATAATTTTTTCCGATTAACGTCATTACAGGAGAAAATACGGGTTCAGCATTAACACTAAAACACGCCATTGTGTAAATTATTCACCCAACTGCATGGTCCCCCCCCATACCATCAAGGTTAATTATTTTAAGTTACATTTTAATGATTTTCCGTTGTCCATCTTCATCATACAATCGGAAATTTTAAAGTCCTTACTGAACAGATTTCACTAAGGATTCATTGCCTCATTCATGTTCTCCGGACAGTCCACATGTTATAGCCTCCTAGATTTTAATACCCTGGAATCGTTTTAGTTAAGTCAATACAATTGCAAAGCTAAGGATTTGGATAATCGGGCTTCGATTCCTGGCAAATCAGGAATTTTCCCTTCGACAGATCGGCCAAACCAGCATCCTACTCTTGAGTCTGGTATCTTTTTTCTCGAGGGTAAAGCTGACCATACATTTCCAACTGGTGAAGATATTGAAATACGTTGAACTATGCCTCCACTCCTCCATACATCTGCATCGAGTGGTACTTAATTAAACACAAGGGAAAGATTAAATTTACGTAAAAAGTACTAGATTTTACACGTTAGGCAAGTCATACAATGCTGAGTTACATAATATTTTCTGGGTCCACGTGTGTTCCTCAGAACTAGGCATAAAGACGCCTTCAAATTACCTTCATCTCTCATACCGAGTATCTGGAAAATCGGTTGTGTAGTAATTATCATAATCGAGCCCGTAACCGTCTTCAGAACGGACAAATAAACTGAAAAATTTAAGAAATATAACAAATAAATTCCATCCAAACTATCCATGCGTAATGTAGTGCAGATTAAATTCTACAGATATTTTGTACAGGCAAAAATACATGTTATATCTGAAATCAAACGCCCGAAAAATAACTCAGTATGTACAGCAAATATCCAGGTCCTCGGGATCATCAGACACGATGAAGCCAGGAGTGAAATGATCATTACCTCCAACAAGGCAAGTACTGCCTGGACACGATGCAGGTTTAATAGGCCTGATTATCTTTGACGAAGCAAATTCCTCCAGCCTTATTGGACAAAAGACATGCAAGCTTCCACCTACCGAGAGGGTTCAATAATAGATCTTTGATGTTATATGCGGTCGGGCTAACTCGCAGTGGATTTGAGTTGTAATGCTAATTGAAAGAACTCCTTAGTGCCTTCATCGTGACTGTAATTTTAAGACAATTATTTTTGTTTTTGTACAAAGAGCATGGTTTGACCGCTGTAATATTTTCATTTGTCCTAAATTTTAAAACCTCATTGAAACAATTTGTGAGACATTTAAAACAATACAGGTTACAGTACTTTCGAAAAAATATTGAAGGAGACTGGATATTGTTGGCCCAGGACAGGGTCCGGTGGAGGGCTTTTTATTCTGAAGAAAGTCGGATTACAACCACAACCGCTGAACGTTAGCATCAATAATATAACCACACTTTAAACCACAGTGGTAACTATAGGCACCACCTAGTTTAAGATCATGAATTTTTACTGAACACTGTATTGTAGATGTCATATGTTTCTCAGAATTTTTATTAGAGAGAAGATGGATTTTTTTTAAGTTTTAGTGTCGTGTAGTCTTGTAGAAGGTTTCCGACGTTTTAGAGGTGTTTGCTGCATCCGTCATCAGGGCGATCGCGTTACCATGGAAATCACCCGGGGCAAATGCATCGCTTTTAAAATCAATCCACGTATTTAATGCTCGGGGTCTGCAATCGCGTTACGTAACTGCTAGCTTCTGGTTTAGGTCTTGAACATAAAAGCCCCACTGAAATCTTAAGAATATTACATAGATCACCGGAGAAGTGAAAAACGACATATAATCACATGAGTCACGCAATATTCCTTCAATGTTACGTGGTTTCTATTAAAAAACAACACAAGTCCAAAATATGTGTTTTGTGAATTTGTAGTTTTGCAAAAACCGATTTAATTTTAAATGTGTGGTGTTTAAATTAGTAATCTATGTAATGTATTAGATAGATTGGTAGGGCATGTAGCGCGCATGGATGGGACAAGAGGTGTGCACCGGGTATTGGTTGGGAAGCCTGAGGGGAAGAGACCGCTGGGGAGACCTAGACGTAGATGGGAGGACAATCTCAGGCGGGATCTATGGGAGATAGGAGTCGAAGGAGACTGGATTTTGTTGGCCCAGGACAGGGTCCGGTGGAGGGCTTTGGTTAATTCGATGATGAACCTTCGAGTTCCGTAAGCCATCTGGTTGATTGGGTCCACTATTTGGGAAACCTGAAGGGAAGAGACCTCTGGGGAGACCTAGACGTAGATGGGAGGACAATCTCAGGCGGGATCTATGGGAGATAGGAGTCGAAGGAGACTGGATTTTGTTGGCCCAGGACAGGGTCCGGTGGAGGGCTTTGGTTAATTCGATGATGAACCTTCGAGTTCCGTAAGCCATCTGGTTGATTGGGTCCACTATTTGGGAAACCTGAAGGGAAGAGACCTCTGGGGAGACCTAGACGTAGATGGGAGGACAATCTCAGGCGGGATCTATGGGAGATAGGAGTCGAAGGAGACTGGATTTTGTTGGCCCAGGACAGGGTCCGGTGGTTCGTTAAGCCATCTAGTTAGTTAGTTATTTTTATTAGATAGTCATAATACATTTGGTAATAATAATAGGATATACCTTTCATGAATTCAGACATCAAAATAATTCCTAGTTCTTAAAATTGATGTATATTCTTACAAGCAACTTATCATAATACGTTCTGTCTAATGATGTGTTCATTACTTTTTAAATTCAGCAGTAGGCCAGTTTTGGAGACTTCAACTTTTT